TTGTCTTTTGTTGACTATCGATTGTTCTTTTGGTGACAAAACCTATAGTCTATTATAGACTATTGACCTTTTTTTTGGGCCACATTTTGTTAATTAGTGAGCAGTAGTGTGACTAATGCTGGCTACTTCTAGTGAACTTTTTGAGTCACCCTTATAAGAAAATTTAATCCTTTACTATTTATTTATTTGTATATCCTTGCATTTTATATCGATTTTTAAGTTCTATACTTCAGCCAATTAATGATCAATCACTACAAAAAAATTGACTTTCAGCGGCGACAAAAGTCGCCGCTGAAAGTACAAAAGTCGCCGCCGAAAGTTTTTTGCGGCGACAAGTCGCCGTTGAAAAGTCGTTGCCGTAGCAGCTGTGGCTGAAAACTTTCAGTGGCGACTAAAAAGGTCGCCGCTAAAAGATACTTTCAGCGGCGACTTTTAGAAGTTTCAGCGGCGACTAGTGTTGCCGCCGAAAACACTTTCAGCGGCGTCAGTGGCGACAAAAAAGTCGCCGTAGAAAACACTTTCGGCGGCGACAAATGTCGCCGCAGAAAACACTTTCGGCGGCGACAAATGTCGCCGCAGAAAACACTTTCGGCGGCGACAAATGTCGCCGCCGAAAGTGTTTTCTGCGGCGACTTTTTTGTCGCCGCTGAAAGTAATGCCTAAGAAGAATTGGCTTTACCAATGCCACGTCATCGCCGTCGGTGCCACGTCATCGTCTCCGGCCACCACGTCATCACCGTCGACCTCCACGTCATCGCCATCGGCGGCCACATAAATGTGTCTTCTTCCAGATTCGAACTCGTGACCGCCTCCTTTCGTGTCCAACCTTCTTGCCGCTGAGCCAGATTGAATTTGTTTATTAATATTGTAAAATAAAATATATATTATTATATTATACTTTCAGCAGCGACAAAAAAAGTCGCTGCTGAAGGTCCACTTTCAGCGGCGACAAAAAAAGTCGCCGCTGAAAGTCTTGGTTTCAATGGCGAACTTTCAGTGGCAACAAAAAAAGTCGCCGCTGAAGGTCCACTTTCGGCGGCGACCAAAAAAGTCGCCGCTAAAAGCCTTGGTTTCAATGGCGAACTTTCGGCGGCGACCAAAAAAGTCGCCGCTGAAAGTCTTGGTTTCAATGGCAAACTTCTAGCGGCGACTTTTTTTGTTGCCGCCGAAAGTCGTTGCCTAAAGTCTGTTTTTTTGTAGTGAATAATGCCCTCTCTCACAATATTTTTGGTAGGTTAAATGGGCAACACATGTTCTTAAGTGGGGTTTAATTTTTGTTATAATCAGAAGAATAAAAACGGTAACGAAACTTTCATCAGTCTTTTAAGTTAGGAACTGGATTGAAACCTTATTAATGGGCATGTGTCGGCAAGCAATTTATAATTACTTATTTGACCCTCTTCCTCTAGGTAGCATTTGAACCAATAACATTATATTCAACTATCAAGGGCTCACAATGGACATCCCAACTTTGTCAATATTTTTAGATGTTTCTTTTTATCTAAATAATTAGTCAACGGATCCAAATTCAACTAAATATTCCGACATATAAAAAGTTTAATTTAATTGTAAGTAAGTGGGTGGAAATTTATATAGTCTAATGTGTGATCAATTAAGATGATAATAATGTGAGCACAACGATGAGAGGCTGATCTGATTTGGCCACTACATACACACACGTATGTGGTCAATGCAGATTCTGATCCATGCACAGTTAGTGCCACGTTCATTCTCTATCATTGTTTGTGTTTCCAAAACAATGTATATATGGATTAGACAAATTAAAGAAGATGAATTAAGCCAATCAAATGATCTCATGTAACAACCAAATTAAATTACTGTACTCAGAAGACTCCTGAAAAATGACCAGATTCAATGTTTCATGTGGCAAAATGAAAACGTGTCTCCTTGTGGATCGTGTTAATTGCTCACCATATATACACTTCATTAATTAATATTCTCATTTAAAAAAGAAAGTTGGAATTTTACCTTAAATATTGCAAAAGAAGCAATGATCTATGAGCCCATTCAGCTTAACGCACAAGATAATTAATCAGAATAAGTTGAACAAATATTTTCTTTTTGAATTTTCTAAAAGATTATTTAGTGACCTTCAAATAGAATTAAAGACTACTTTTGGAAGTTATATACGAATTATTATTCAGATAAGAAAAGAAAAAGAGAGAGAGAGAGAGAGAAAATGGTCAGAAAAAGAATAATTTCAAGATAATGATGACTACTCACTGTAGTACCTCGGGTCTCTTGATAAGAGCAACATCTCCTCTTAGAATTTGTTTGTCTTTCTTGTTTAAGAATAATGCATAATTTGTATGGATAGATAAAAAGTGTAAATTTTTAAATCAGTCATGGGAAGATAATTTAATTTTGATTTGAAACTCCGCGAAGGCATTTCTGAAGTTAAATTAAAATTAAAATTACATCCGTCCTATTACAAATAATATTTAGAAAACTAGGGATTCTTAATTATCATTACATATATATATAGAAAAAACAAATGGATAACAATAATCTGTTAGGCGAAATGGTAAGTAATCTCACCCTATAAAAAGAAAAACATAAATTCAAATCCTAAAAAGCGCATTAGTTGGGAAGGTTTTAACATTAACGCTCCCAACCCGATAAAGATTAGTCTCAAGCCAAAATAACTTAAGGGTACTTTGAGTTATATCAAAAAAGAAAAAAAAAAAACAAGAGAAAACACAAATGGGTTATCAATTATTCCAATATATATATATATATTGGATTCAGGTTGAAGAGTCATAACGCACAAGGTTCGCCACAAAAACTCCACCTTTCCACTTTGTGATGATGAGATTCTTTAATTAAATAAATGAAAGAGACAAGAAATCAGTAGTTAAAGTTAAGTCTCTGTTTTTTACATACTTTTTTAGGATAAACTACCAGTTTAATTAATTTGGAATATATACTATTTCCATTGCACTTATCTCCATTCAACAGCAGGATATGGCTGTCAAATTAATCCACCAAAGATATATATTGCATACCCTGTTAACTTATTTGTCTTTTTCATTATTTGTCTTTTTCATTATTTGCCCCCTTAAATCATACGAAGTTCATTATCAAGTTTACAAGTTAAACAGCGCGCGCACATATACATGACATGAAATTAAAGAAATTTTTTCTAATTTAATTAAATTTATTATTATATGCTCTCTGGGAAGATTTTCTGCTTCGAATGTTGGGGGAAAAAGTGGCAGCCTACTATTGTTATTTGAGCTAATTAACGGTGCCATGAACACAAATGCAAGAGAGCCCATTTTACAAGAAAGCTTGATGAAAAGAACAACTTTTTAAATTCATAAACCCCACCTTTTTTGTGAGGTTTTTTAACGTAGGACTTATAATAAAGCTGACGCATAGGATAATTAGACTTTTCAAATAATACTTTTTTTAATAGTAATTATTATCAAAACTAACGTGCTTCTAATTTTCTTTTGGTTGGTATGGATATATATAATAAATAGCCGCCTAGCTTTGCTTTCCTAGGATCCACAGTATATCATGAAACAACAACAATAATAATAAAAAAGCTGATTATATAAATATATATATTTATATATCTGCAAATCATTGAGTCCCCAACTTCACTTTAAGCAATAGCCTAGAGACGGACAAATTCAGGATCTTATCTATGCATTGAGTTCCATTTTGAAAAGGCAGGAAACTAATTTTTTGTATTAAATTTAAATGGCAATGAAAAAGAAACCTAGTTGCATTGCATCTAAAAAAGAATTACAAAAAATCATGATTGAGTCTGAGCTTTAAAAATTGTTTTAGGATCGATCCTATTCTCAACAATGGAACATATGAATAATTCTCTCACTCACTCACTCTAGTATATATCGACGGGCTTGTCCCCCATAATTAAACGCTGTTTCCTACACCATGTAATTAAGCTGCAAAATTTAGGGGGGGAAATGTAAGAAGGCAAAGAATATTTTGAAAATCATTTGACGGAATTGATTGCCGAATAATAATAATAATAATAATAATAATAATAATAAACAGAAATAAAAGATGGATGACGATATATATAACCACAACATTAGTTTTTACTATTAAGTATTCATCATAGATTTAGATTTTTCTTTTTCAAGACCTTCTCCTAGTTCTCTTATATTTCATATCTTTTGAAGTGTTTCCCATAAAAAATCAAAACATTTCATCTATTACTTCTCAGGATTTGAAATATAAGGGTGGTTCTAAATTTTTGTTTAGTTTCAAAATTCAAACTGTGGCAGCACTATTATATTCAAATACTAAAAAAATAATTCCTTGTTTTTTAGTGCCAAAAAGTTTTGGGTAAGTTAAGTTCTAAGATCTTATCAGCTTAGTATAAGATTTTTGCAGGTCTTATTGTTAGAAAACATTTATAAACATACTTACATACTATTCCACTAATAATCTGTATAAATCTGTTTTATACATAATGGACTTACACACACGTATATGTGGGCAGTTCTTATCCAAGTCTAAACGAATCTTGAGCAGTATAGGGAGAGGACAATCAATCGTATCATATTCGGTCCGAATAACTTTAAATTTCTCTGCCCTGAACGGTTCAACGGAATGTGTAAACACGAATTTTTTTTTCCCCCGGTTGAAGGTAAAACGTTTCCTAAAATCATATTTATATATATATATATATATATATATATTCATGTGATAACACAATTGGAAAACTCCACTACACAAATCATGTTCATGCAGGAACTGATCTAGAAGTTACCTAACATTCGTGACAGATGTCACAGCATTTGAACAAACAGAAGAGAGAGATAGAGATCGATAGAGAGAGAGAGAGAATTGCCAGGTAGGATTCTTATCCAAATCTACTTTTATAAATCTTCTACCCACAATGGGGTACAGTGGAAGCAAATTTTCAGTATAAAAAGGGCACGCAGGCCTCTGGTTCTTAACATCTAGTAATCCAAGTGTCTCTCTCTGAGACTTGTAATATGGATATTCTATTAAAAGTGAAAATTTTCTGCACATTGGCTATTGTTCTTGGGCTAATATGTGCGAAGCATGTTGCATGTTCGAGGCACAGGCAATATCATCCTGGAAGGAAAATGAGTTCTGGGGATAATAATAACGAGGATCTTGTAACCAGCTTTCCTGGTCAGCCTCATGCAGATTTCCAGCACTTTGCTGGCTATGTCACTGTGAACGAAACTAATGGAAGAGCACTCTTTTACTGGTTCTACGAGGCCATCACCAACCCTCAGGAGAAACCCTTAGTCCTTTGGCTTAATGGAGGTAAGAGGTAGTCCTTCATTAATCCTTTTTCTTGCCCCAGATTTGGATCGCCCCGTCATATATAGTCTCGTGAAGAAAGAGATAATATCATATCCCTCTCTTTTCGTGATAATCATGTCACATGAGATATGCGAGGCGTAACAGTATTGGAGTTGTGTCTCTGGCTAGAGATTGGAGTTCGAATCAGAGTTAGAGCCGAACTAATAGACCAAATTAAGAAAACATAATGACAAAGATGCTTTTCCTTAAAGAGAGACTCGTTGGTTGCTTTTTCTCATGTGTGTTCTTGGCTGAGGTGACAAGATGCCTTTTTGTTGCAGGACCTGGGTGCTCTTCTGTGGGATATGGAGCAACGCAGGAGATTGGTCCTTTTTTAGTGGACAGTGATGGCCAGGGTCTTAAATATAATAACTTCTCATGGAACAGAGGTATTATGACTTGTGAGGACCACCACACACACAACATAATTAACACAATTCACACTTTCTGGTGCAGACCCATCTCACTACTTTCCATGTAAAATTCTGATGATGCACCACGTTGTTAATTATTGTATATAGTGCTCCATTATTTGTCCCCACAACAATTATTAACATTTGGTGCTGCTGAGTATTCTTGACGTGTGTGTTGATGCAGAAGCCAATGTTTTATTCGTGGAATCTCCTGTTGGTGTCGGCTTTTCCTACTCAAACACAACCAGTGATTATGAACATCTCGGAGATGACTTAACAGGTTACAAATCAATTAACCTTAACATTACATATTTTGTTCCGTCCATTAATTAAGCTTCCGTCTTATCATTCACTTCTAATTAATGAAGGTTGACATTTCATTTGTCTCTGAGACAGCGAATGATGCTTACAATTTTCTGCACAAGTGGTTTCTCAAGTTTCCATCTTACAGAACCAGGACATTTTACATAGCAGGAGAGAGTTATGCAGGTATATATATTTATCTACATTGAAATCTTTAAACTACGCAACACTCATTATTCTTAAGTTTGATATATGTGGATTATCTGATAATTAATGGAATATATTTTCAGGAAAGTATGTTCCTGAGCTTGCTGAGCTCATCGTTGATAGGAATATGGAGCCTTCGCTTCATATTGATCTTAAGGGTATCCTGGTATGGTCCTACATAATTTGAAAAGTATTCTCTGGCTAGTCAGGTGCTAGCTAATTAACATAAGCTAAAGCAAAAGGAATCTTTCTTTAAGAGATACATGACTGTTAGTATAGTTCCTATATGTAGGTTTTAAATATTATATCTGTTACGCACACATCACATCCCACTAACACAATCAAACTAGCTTGAGTTCTAAATTGCAAGGCAAAGTTTCCACATTTCATCATTATTTTCTTTCAAGAAAAATCTTAAATCTTATGGACTTTTTCAGAGGCGTAATTTGTCAAAAGTACTAAAATATGTATATTATTTGTTGACAGCTGGGTAATCCAGAAACATCTGACGCTGAGGATTGGATGGGTATTGTGGATTATGCTTGGAGCCACGCCGTGATATCAGATGAGACACACAGAGAAATCAGAGAAAGTTGTGACTTCAAAAGCAGTAACCCATGGATTAACCAAACTTGTTGTGATGCTGTGGATGAATTGCTTGCTCAGTACCACAAGATTGATATGTATAGTCTCTATACTCCTGTCTGCTTTGCCACTGCTGCTCGTTCCAATGATCAATCTACAAAAAGCGTCATGAGTTATAAGCGCACATTGAAAATGGTGAGTGAAGAAAAATTTTTAAATAGGCCATCAACTTTTTCTATATCTACTGTCTAGAGATTATTACTTGTCAGATTTTAAAAACATGCGGACCAGTTTTAAAAGCTCAAGTGGATTTGCTTGAGCAGATGCCTAGGATCATGGGTGGTTTCGATCCATGTTTGGATGATTATGCCACAGCTTTCTATAACAGACCAGATGTTCAGAAGGCGCTTCATGCCAGCGATGGTCATAGCCTTAAGAATTGGAGTATTTGCAAGTATATAAAATATGCTGTTCCTCTAATAATTGATGATCACTTTCTTTTCCCATGCTATTATCGTTTATTAGATATAATACTGTAATTATTACATGCATGCAGCTACAAGATATTCAACAACTGGGAAGATTCAAAGCCATCTGTTATCCCAATTTACAAGAAGCTTATTTCGGCAGGACTTAGAATCTGGGTTTACAGGTAACTAATAATTACTCTTAAAGGTGGTGGTGTTTACTGTTTAGAGTTGATAAACATAATATCTTGCATATATGGGTCCCACTCTTAGACATTTTCTATATTTCTTGGATCAAAATCTATGCCTCAGCGGAGACACCGATGGTAGAGTGCCGGTACTGTCCACAAGATACAGCTTAAGCACTCTGAATTTGCGTATCACCAAGCCATGGAGACCATGGTATCACGAGAAAGAGGTGATTAACCTTGAGAATATCAGGAGTAATTAATTACCATATGCTATTCATATATATATAAACTACTTCCTTATGCCCTTAATATGAGAGCTAGTTAACTAATTTGAGTAGATTAAAAAAATTAGTTAAGTTAGTCATTTGTAATAAATAGGTGTTGTCTTTTCTAAAGTATCCTTACTAATCAAGTGTATTGGCTATAATTACTATTATTACAAGGATTATCATGGGAAAAAATGAATAAATATAATAAGGTCTTATATTTAGGATCAAAATAAAGTCAAACGAACTCTTATATCAAGGACCGGATATAGTATTTCATAATTAATTGACATGGGCTTGTTTGTGTGGTTGGAACAGGTAAGCGGGTGGTTTCAAGAATACGAGGGGCTTACTTTTGCCACATTTCGAGGAGCTGGACATGATGTGCCTAGTTTCAAACCAAGCGGTTCGCTTGCATTCTTCTCCTCCTTTCTGCTCGGACAGTCCCCGCCAGAAACTAAATAAGACCCAACACTGATCCATAATTACATACATATATATATTTATATGGAGCGGATGACTATATATATAGGTTTTGTAACTTCATATAAGAAGATTTTGGCCCATAATTATATAGAACTAGCATGCTAGCAGGACGTCTTGAGTATCCCATATACATGGACTTGGAATTTATATGGCTTCAATTTTGAGAACAAGTCTTTATTACGAGGAAGGAGAAAGAAGCAGAGAGGAGAGGCGGCGGGAATGAAATTCATCAGCTTTTGAATCTTGGAATTAGCCAAAGGAAAGCCCATAGCCGTTTTCCAAACAAAAGATAGATGAAATATATATATACATATATCAATTCTCATGAAATTAAACCCAATTGACAACGGTAAGTCGGTAATTATTATATTTACATTGCAAGTACATGGCTAAAACTCACAATACAGATTTATCTCCATAACTAGTTAAAATTTAAAATATACACCTTCACACCTTATCTCAAGTATAATCCATACTTCAACTTTGTCTAGCACAGAAAAAAATGACAACACATCACTTCCCAAGAACGTACGTTTATGCATATGCTGATAAGCAAGTACACAAATATATATCAGATATGGGCACACATGATATATAGACACACATGATATGCAACTTTGTTTAGCCTTCTCTATATGAAGCCTCCCACCAGTTTTGGTGCCATCCCAAATATTCCATTTCTGAAGGTATACTGAGGAACTTGGTTAGCAACAACTCTTAAGCACTTGGATCTACGACGCCATTTGAGGTTGGAGTTTAACTTTATTGTTGCATATTTCTTGTTTAGCCCCGAATGAACAGTTTCAACGTTGATGTGCTTCTTCAACGAATTTCTGCTCAAAGGAAGATAGATTGCTTTATCAATATCTTCCAGCAGGTCTGTGTTTGAGTCATAACTATTGCTCGAGTTGAAGAACATCTGAAAGGCTTTCAAGCATGACAGATGAAATTGCTTGAGAGGCTTAGGCCAATCACACATTTCATCCATTAGAACATACTCCATGAACTCTTTCTTCTTTTTCCCTATTATCTCTCTCACAAAAGCTATTGAATCTTCTATATCCACTTCAGGATTCTCGATCAAGTTTATCAGAACAGAGTTCACTTTCCCCTCCATCTTTTCCTTCTGCACTTATACAGCAAGTCAGTAGCAATGTGTTAGCTAGGTTCCCTCAAATTGGCTATATAAATACGGTTTTTTTTAAATACCTGGTAGCTTTGTAAATCATTCAAAAAACGACAAATAACCATAAGCAATTTTGTTATGGTTTCGTAATTGGGTGGCCTGAGCTTGTCAATAGGTAAATTGGGCTTCAGAAAGCACAAAGCTGCTGGAAGAACAATGGTGTGTACGGCAATGGAGATCATGCCAGTCTTAATATAATCATCAATGGAGGGTGTCTGTCCGTTTCTGCTCCACTTTGCTTCCTCCAGCCACGAACTAAATGTTTCGCACCACTTTACAGATTTCATTAATTAACACAATGAGATATGTTATGTTTTGCTCCTCGATTCAGCTGGATATTAAACTCTTAAAATTGACTCATTGATTTATGTAACTTACTATCTGTCGGAGATTACTAGTTATATCAGATCCTTCTTGTTGACGATATCTTTGAGCAGCTTCACTCATAAGATCATCAAGAGCTTCGAATATTACCTTGCTGTGGCTGCTTAAGCCCCCACTATCCCATCTATAAAGTATATATGAATTAATCAGTAAAAAGAACACTTTTTTAGTCAAAACTGATAGTTATGGTCTCCCAAAAAAAAAAGACACCCACTTCTTCTTTTTTTTAATTGGGTTTTACCTTCCTATTGCATCTACGAGGTATTCGAGTTCAGGAAGAGAAGCTTCCATGTCAAAGAAATCATCAGCTACAGTGACGATGATGGCACTTTTTGCAACTAACATTCTGACCCAAGAATCATGGGGTAGAGACGATGCGGTGGCTGCAGCAACAGCGAAGTAACAGTATATGGTTTTCTCTCTGCCAAATCCCATACTTCTCAAGCCAAAGTCTTCAGACCACCTATTAATTAATTACATACTAATTATTAGTGCTAAGATGAAGCAATTATGAAAGTTTGTATTCGTGTGGTCTTTAAAAAAAAAAAGAAGAAGAAGAAGAAAACCTTTTCAGCTCCTCCAACTCATTTTTGAACAGCGATTGCCTGAACTCAAAGTCTTGCGCAGCAAGTTGTAGCAGTTCGTCGCTGCAAACGCATGACATTCTGCGTATATAAGAGAATAGCCGCCAGAGTATATAAGCCAATCATTCAATTTCATATGGAAAGCAAACAAAACGAATTATCTTTATTTTATTAGCAGAAATTATAAGAAGAACAGAGTGAACAAATCAAATACCTATTATATGAGGCCTTTCCTTTCCACAGAGCATTGGCTTCATTCTCTTCTATAAACTTTCGATGTTCCAAATGATCCAGGCGAGCAAGCCATGGAAGATTCAACTCGTGCTCAATCTACAAGGCAAACAAAATAAAAGTGCGAATAGTCAATGCCTTTTCCGAAAGAAACCTGGTACATACAATGAGTACGAATGGGCGGATTTGGGGCACATTTTAAGAGACATGCACCATACACATCTCACCAAGATCCAGATGAGATGTGTGACTGGCGATGTTGACAGTTTGACCTGTCGGTTATTTCATTAGTTGATAGTGATAAGACCTCATATGATTATTATAGACAACGTTAAAATACTTTCTGTCAATCTTAGATATTCTATATCCATGGGAACGTTGACAGTTTGACCTGTGGCCGGTGGTCTCTATCAGCGGAAGTCATTTTCTCAAGCTGTTTCCAAGCAAAGGACCTTGCTTCCTCAAGTTGATCCTCTCCACAGAAGATAACGTCTGTGGCTCTGTACACACTTATCATCGCAAATGTGAAATACTCAGGATGTTTCTCTACATGACCTCGGATCTCTTTGTTATGTAAAAACCAGCAAAAGCTTACTGCAGTAATAATTAATTAGGTGGGAAAAAAAGTTAATAAGTAATTACAAAATAAAACCCTGTGACGGAGGTCAATTAGTCAGCAATTAGCCATATATCAAAATAATTAATCAATCTATATATTATATAATGACGTACATGGCGATACTTTATATCCGTGCATCCGAAGAAGCTGAAATGCCAGAGAGTCTTTGTGAAGTTGTGATGCAATCATATTGTGTGATCTCACCCACGATTCTGGATCTACGAAATTCCTGCAAATCAAATCAAGTAGGAAGCTTATCTGTTATGTATACCCATTGGTAGCGACAATTATTTATATCTTATTGATCTTGGGGTAAGATTTTACTTGTTAATTTGAGCCAAGGTCTCTTTGATCTCGTCTACAAAATACTGAGCCAAGCCTAACTTCTCTATCTGATTCACCATGCACAGCTTTATGAGGTCCTCATCCATGGGAAATGTTTGTGGAACTATACCAGTTAAATCCAATTATTTGTAAAGATCGAAAAGAAATATAATAGAAAGTTGGTTTGGTTATTAATTATTAAAAAATAATCGGGAACCTCCATTGGGGCATCTTTGAGCTAAAGACTGCAAGTAAACGAGGCACTCTTTCTTTCCTGTAACTATAAATGCTTTTGCTGTAGCAGAAGGTGATTGGAATAATGATCCATCAACACTCAAGTTTTTTGATATCTCTTCTGTGCTTATGGCAAATGACGGAGGCAAAGCTTCAAGATATAACAACAGTGGAGGGAAATGGTGTCCCACAAGCCTCTCCCTGCATTTTCATTCAACCACAAGGTTCTTTTAGTGAATTCTTCAAATTGAAAAAAACTTATAAAAAGATTCGTGCGTGTGTGTGAAATCATATACGATAAAAAGAGTACTTGTTAATAAACTTTTGCCGACAGCTAAAGATGTACGATATTGTCTCGTTCACTGATTCTGGGAGGACGTCATGTAAACCATTTGTCTCTGCAAGCTCAAGCATGGCAGGTAGAACAATGGCAAACCAATGAGGACAATAGCTTTTCACGTCCTTCAGTAGTTTCTCAGCATTTGCTTCAATAAATGACAAGCCTGAAACCGAAGAAGCCAATAGTTCGTTGTCAAATCTTAATTTAACCGAAATCGGAGAAGCCAGTAGTTCATTGTCAGATCCTTTAAACTACATATTAGCAACTATGTAATATATTTAGGGATGGAGAGAGTGTATGTATTAAGACTTATTCGCTCTATTTTTGTCTAAATATTATATTTATATATATAATAATTTCTTGCAGATATCAAAATATAAGAGATTGATGTCTTTATATATGTATATATATAAACTAGTATAATCTACTTGCGTTACATGAATCTGAAAAACGAGCGGCATTATTCAGAACTTATAAATAGCAGCATATCTTGCTAATCAGATCTTACATCTATAAATAGATAAGAAGAAGGGGAAAAAAAGTATGGATAAACCAAAAATGCTTGGGATACCTTTATCTACAAGCAGCGGTCCAGAATTCCACATTTTGAGGGCAACAATGGAAGAAAGAGTTGCAGGAAGGGCTTCAATGGTGGGGTTGCCAAATGCATCACAGTCTCCCCAGAACCCTTGTTCTTTCTGATTGTTCATCAGCCAGTTCAAGCAATTCCTGAACTTGGGCTTCGAACTTTGATCATCAGATTCATCAGAAAAAGAATCAGGGATCATAGCTAACCATGCAGTGTCGTACGCAGAAGGGCTCACAAACGAGTAAGGATCAAAGTTTGGTGAGAACATCGTCCCCTTAATCTTTTGGGCTCTGCGATTCATCACGCCGGATAAAGAGGAATCCATCATTGAATTTAAAATCAATAGATGTGATAATGAGAGGGAAGAAGAAAGCAATGTGAGATGATATTGTCTTTGTTGCTGTGATAAGTTCACGAAGCGAACTACTTTATTTATAGTACTTTGCATGAAAGTCACTGTAACATTGCCTCGTGTTTTACGTTCGTACGGAATCTGACGCACCACCCGTGTGGATTAGTTTGACAAAGACTATAATTTGTGTCTCTGGACGTGGAAATTGGAAAAAGCAACTATTTATAATTTTGATTAATTAGTATTTGACCTTGACTTAGGTTTAAATGAGAAATCTAGGCACTAGCAAGCATGCCGTATAAAGAGAGGGAGAAGGCCAAAAAAAAAAAAAAAAAGAAGGGTTGTACTCACTCTTATCCGCAAAATATGTTTTTTTAACTATCTCACACACACAATATTCTCTATGATCCTTAATATATAAGTTAAATGATGAATTGAATTTGGTTATAAATATAATATTTCAATCTATTCTATCTTCTATATTTATAAATTTTAAGAAAGTTTTCTTCAAAATTCAATGCAAATAATAAAATAGAATATTTTAGAAACACAACATTTAGTTTTTTTATAAATAACTAGATTAATTATTTTTTTAGGATTTATTTGGGATCACAATTATAAGCATTTATAAACATATTTCACGTAAGTCGAGACCAAATTTTTTTTACATACTTACTTTGTATCTGTAAGTAAAAAAATTGCTTATAAACTATTCTAAACGAACCATTAATCTTTCTAAAATAGTTACCAAACTCTTATATTGATTATATTATTGTATCTGGCAAACAATTTCAACAGCTTTTACAATTATCTTTATCAGTTACGCCAATTGCAAACTGATAAGGAAAGAAATGAAAACAAAAAATAATTAATGTAACGGAATAACTTTTCAAAGTATTTTTTATTTGAGACAGAGAAAAAGGAAACTTTCATGAAACATGTAGGACTAAGGACCACAGGAAACCCGGAAGGAGAAGGACCATCTCCAGTGTGTACTCCAATTTTTTGCGGCTGGGAGAAATTTCATAGGAAAATTCCTAGATAGCTACATCTTTCCATCGCGTGGCTGTGTTTCCCTCCCTTGATTCAATAATTCATCACCAAATCATAAAACCCGAATTACTATGTATGATTGTGTGATTATATTTATACGTTGCAGATTATTATGTATGATTGTGTGATTATATTTACATGTTGCAGATTATCATTTTTGTTGGAAAAAACGAGTTTTTGGTCATTTATTTCTATATCAGCTGTAAGTTATGACTGTATGGATAGCAATTTCAGTTTACTTAAAAATTTAAAATGAGTCCATTTTTATTTTTGCAAAAAAAAAGAAGGTGAGTTGGCAAATTCGGTCCACAAGTCTCCCCTGGTGGGCTGGATTGAGAAAATTCTAGCCCTAATAATAATAATAAATGCTCTGAGACTTGTAGCCGAAAATAAATACTCTGAGACAATTTTTAAAATTCCAGAACACTTTAGAAATATAAATTCGGATTTTATTGCCAGTCAAAACATTCTTTAATTTAGTTGGCCGGTCTTAAGGCTTGTGATGTTAAGTAGCAAAATAAAACGAAACAAGGTGGCAAAAAAGCCCTGAACATTTCATTTCCAAGTCTTCTTATACTTTATTTCAATATTATTCCTTCATTTATTTGATTTTATTTTTATTATAAATTATAGGTACGTGTATCTTAATAGGTAAAATAAAAACTATATTTGTCTTGGTTTAATCTGCTGTGACATATTTCTGTTTGTGTGACTTTTTGCCTTTGTTTTGTGCCTTCATGCTTACAGCCGTTTCTGCAACAATACACATTTAATGTAGATCTAGATGAGGTAAGAAAAAATTTTGATACTGCAAACTTGTGGGGCATGACTTATCAACTACATGATCATAATTCACAAGTGGGCCTTTGGACATGATACAAGGTACTGTTCAACTACTGTATATAAGGTAACTGTTCAGATACTGTATACCCTACTCCTCTAGTCCTAAATGTAAGACCCTTATACACACTAGTATAAGGGTCTTACATTTAGGACCGGAGGAGTACAATGTAGCTGATCGATAAATGGATGGTTATCGGTGTGCTTGTGCAAAATGAGGTTGACAGTTTCAATGAAGTCACAATGTATACATCGAACTAAGATAAATTATGTCAAATTTGAATCAGCCTGATTTAATTAATTAGGTTGAACTTAGATAAATTGTGTCCACTTTGAACCAGCCTGGTTTAATTAATTAGGCTGAACTTAGATAAATTGCGTCCAATCTGAACCAGCCTGGTTTAATTAATTAGGTGGCCACTATCGAATCTGGAGTGCATATTCCCTACATACCTTGGAGAATTAAGTTAATCGATCATCCTTGCCTTCAATTTAATATTATTGATGATAAAACTCAAGTGTAACCTATTACCAATCGGTATAACTCTTCTTGAACATGTAGCTAAAAATGAATTACACAAAATTAAAGAAAAGTACTTAACACATTTTTTTACAGAATTGATTTTTTAATAAGAGACTGAATTTTTTCTGAAGTATATTATTGTTGTTTTTGTTATTAATATTGATGATTATATCACAATACGTGCATGGTGTAGGTCAACCGAAGCACCGGCTTTTTCCGGAGGGGTAGTACGGGTTGGCTCCACTACGCTGGATAAGACCTGCGGGAGAGAACAAAACAAATTGGATTCTTTTTCAGACGTTTTTTTTTTTTTTGGTGGTGGATAATACGCTTTCATACGTTTTTCATTATATAAGCCAAACCAGAATTTTGTTGGAATGATGTGTCTTTGTGGTCGGTCATATGCACGTCAGATTAAAAGTATTATTTCTAACTGAATATTTATTTATTATCATGTAAAACATTAATTTTTGAAATAAAACTCAACATTTGAGGAGATGCGTGTAAATATTGACAATGTATGGCTGTATATTTTTTAATTAAGCATAAATAAAGTAACCTATTTGAAATTAAAACTTTATAAGGTTGATGGATGTAATTGTATTGAAATTAATATGTAAAAATTGGGATCATATTTGCAATTTGGGAGAATCCCAATTAAATCTAACTAAAGTACTTAAATCTAAATTCAGGCATACACTTTTATCAAATTTCTAATTTAGCTATGAAGCCTTATTAGAGATTTTTAGATGATCATTGAATGACCAAAATAACCTCTTTGATTAAAAAGAAAAATTAATTATTTTATTCATTCTAATGATCTCTTGTGATTATTTTTTAGGACTAAAAAATATATATAAGTAATTTCATAGTATTTAAATTTGTATATATAACTAATAACCTCTCAAAATTCCTACTAAGTTAAGCTGCTTTAGTGCTCTTTTATTGGGTTTGAAAGTTAATTTTGCAGGAAACAAAGCTTGAGGAGAGTAAAGAAAGGACAAAAGCTGAAAAGAAGTCATGTGCTACGGCATCTGGGAGAAAACGCCGTGGCGGCTCAAACAGAAAGGGAGGAGTGCGTCTCTGTAAAAGGCGCCACGGCACCTTACTGAATCCGCCGCGGCGCCTGGCCCCTCGCAGCTGTGCGTTTTACTTGGTAACTTAAAAAATTAGGGCATATAGAGGTGGATACTAGGTTTTTCTGTGGGGACTTCGACTTTGGAGCAATTTTGGAGGCTGGCTCTACTAGGGTTTGGAGTTTTAGAAGCTTGGAACCTTTGGGCTTGAAGCTAGAAGAGATTCGAAGCTTGTAACTTGAATTTTCTGGGTTTTCTTCTTTGCTTCTTGTTTCTGCTATGACTACTAGCTACTCATATAGTTGTAGTTCTTTACTCGATATGTATAGCTAAATCCGTTTTTCTAGGGTTATTTTGATCTATTGTATGGATTGAGACTTGGTTTTACTATCTCTTGAGTGTTAATGATAATATTCAGTTGTTTTTACTTTGAGCTTAATGCTTCTTTTTGTCTGGCCATCATTTGGATTGATTAATTGATTAGTCTAACTTGAGAAAGTTAAACTAATTCGTAAACTTTGGTAAAAACATGCTAGTCCAGAAATTTAATTGAGTAAACAGATGGTTTGTCGATAGAGCATAGATGTATTTGTTGACCTAGCATAGACTAAATGGGTTTTGGTTTTTAAAGTGCAACATTTTCAAACAAGTGCAAGATATTGCTGTGTTTTAATCGTGATTGCAAACATTTGGTTTTGACTTGAGAAAGCTTAATCAATTCTGCAAACCCGGGCTAACTGAACTTATTGTAAAGCACTACTTGAGAAGTAATTAATTCAGTTTCATGAAGTACTTTAGTGAAGAATAACCCTAGTCTCTTAATTGTTTCAAGGTCAGGTTGATTTTATACTGCTTTAAATTATTGTTTTTCCTAATTTCATTTCACAAACTCTTTTACAACAATTGTTTCACTTAACCTAATCAAGTACACAATTATGATTTTCAACTCATCTAGCCTTAGTCTCTGAGGGAACGATACTTTTTATATTACTTGCGACCCGTCCACTTGCGGTTAAGATATTCAGTGAACAATAACTAAAACCTTTAAATGAAAATACAAAAGATTTAGCTAAAGAGTACTTATAATGTTATAATGTACTTTAAAATATTTTATTGGAATATTTTTTTAAGCTTTTAATTATGCATACAAATTTTAACCACTATAAAATGACTTGTGTTTTTTTGTGTCCTAAAAATAATCATAAGAGATAAGATATTATCTGAGAGGAGTAAAATAATCAATTTTTATTTTTAGTCAAAGAAGATTATTTTAGTCATTTAACAACACCAAAAAAATTCTAAATCAGGCCTCATAGCCTAATCAAGAATTTATTAAAAGTGTAGAAATTAATTTAAATTTAAGTATTCTAACCAGATTTTATTGGGATTTTTCCTTGTAACTTTGTTAAGAAGGTTAAATTGAAAATATCACAAACTTAAATTTATAAATAGCGATTGTAGCTCCCAAATTGAAATGAATG